CACACACACGATTAAGCCTTCCTGTCTGACCGAATGGCATCCTGCTGTCTTCAGACAACAAGACAGTGCAGTCAAATATTGCTTCTGTCAGCACTTTGTCTTCTGGACTGACAGCATGTAGGACAGACAACAACAACCGGATGTTCCCAATTGAACAAATCCGAAAAATTATTTGAATTCAATTTATTTACGTTTTCATTATTGCACTCACTGTAAGAGCCTTGGAAAGACAAAAGTAAATGCTTTCTTATAAGTTGAATGTGATCTCATAATTTCGTTAAAAAGATACTTGTATCATGTTAGTCATGAATGTAACAATGTCTAAAAATGCTCCAGTAGCTGTCACAGTGCAACTGTCTTGAAAAACGAAACACATATGTTGGGTGAGAGGCGCCATCAAAGGATCTCACACAGGTTGCCATTCACGCAAGCACCACGATTGCTTATTGGATACGGGATGGCACGATCAGCTCATTTGCCGAGATCGAGACGCCAACGATGCCCCGGCAGCCCCTCAGCCACCGTTTGCTGTGGGGAGGTTACTTCTATGGCACACGCTCAAGGCTGAGCTCAAGAGAACTGAGAGCAAATCAATTCATGAAGTGATTCCATTCACATACGGCACAACACTATCTTGAGCGTTGCAGATACCCACTGCCCCCCACCCCCCCCAAAAAAAGCAACGTACTTGGCACGGAAATTGCCAGTGATACACTTTAAATCTGGTGCGCCTGTGCATCCTTACTGTATGCGCATCGTTTAATCATATGGTGAGTTATTTGTTAGCGTAAGAAGAAGACTCGAAAATTAAATTCCATCGTTGCAGGGAAACAAACGTATCAATCTCTTTTGTCTTTGGAAATCTAAGATAAAATGAAAAGCAGTGGAGTTTCATCTGATTTCTTTCGAAAAGGATGCATTTAACGAACAATGCATGTGGCGAGCACAGTGCACCGTATCGAGTCTGGATTCAGAACAATTATCGGACACATTCATTTTGTGTGAAATGCAGGCACAGGCAAGCCTCAGGCCTCTCTGATCAGAGGCGACTGTTACTTCAGTCCCATGTAACATCAGGCAGCAGTGCGCCTGTGAGACAGGAGACTATTGTAACAAAAAGGATTGTTTTCAGCAGAAATTATTGAAACGATCTGTCAGAAACCAAACACCTCCCGGCATCATCGTCAGTTTTTCAAGTTCCATTCAATTCGACGAGGAATGAGAAACAACATGTCTTATGTTGAACTTTTATGACACAAGCGGATCGATTTGAAGCACTTTGAAAGATAAACTGCGCAGTGTCCCCGCCTTTGTTCTCATAATTCTCGATTTTTTTTCTGCTTCAACTGAGCTGAGCGTTCATAGTGAAGGTGAGGCACACACGGGTTCAAAAAGAAGATAAATTGTCACAAGCCCTCATTCCCGTTGGACGGAATGACCTGCTGAGCACCTGCCGATTCTCAGGGCTCGGTTTTTGCCAGTCTTTGGGGTGGGTTGCATTTCAAATCACTGCTTTCCTGAGATTTTAGAGAACTACGGTAAAGCGAGGGAGGATCCGAGAACATTCATGGACACACAAACTCAAGAGTGCTGAAATACAATCAATGCAGACTTACAAGACAATTAGCACAGGGCGGTGCAGACAAGATTACCTCAAGCTAACTGATGGTTCCAGTAATAGGCACACCGGCATTATCTGCTTGCTCTGGCTAGAGGCTTAGACAGCATTTAGGTTAACCTGTTCGTGCAGACAGTGGGCAGAGTGTCAGGATTTTTTTCCTGAACCTGCAGACACTGGAGACAGAATAATTAAGGACAGTGAGACTGCACACTCGCTGCACACTCATGCGCTCAAAGCACGACCTCTTTGTCGGTCTTTCATCCTTGTTTTCATTTTGTTCATCAAGATGTACCTGGAACCCAAGTCGCTAAGACTAGATTGCCTTTTTTGGGGGCTTGATTGGGACAAACAAGGGCATGTCACCCAGTTAAAAGGGACTTCAGGATTAGAGCTGCCAAAGACCAAAATTGAGCCTGTTGCCAATCATGTCATCTTACTGGCAGATCAGTATGCTTGCCAGGAAGTGAGATTTATATGCAGACATTGTGGCAGGTTTGCCAAACATGCAGTTTGCCAGGAAATGGAATTACTCCACGCAGAGGCGCTATATGAGGGAGCTGGTGGATTCTTTTGGGAGAATTCAGCCCTTGTTTCTCAAATGTTATTTTTGTAAACCAACATGTTTTTGTTTGTTTGTTTGTTTTACATTTGTAATCTGAGTAAATACGTGAACCGGGTTTAGATCAAGACTGGCTCTTTGTGATTACTGTCCACAATGGAAGAAGGTACTTTATGGTTTTTGGACATTGTGTCTAAGTGTGTGTGTGTGTGTGTGTGTGTGTGTGTGTGTGTGTGTGTGTGTGTACATGTGCGTGCATGGGCGTGTGTGCATGTCTGTTAGTTAAGTTCGGGTATGCATGTGCTGAGCCATCTGTTCACTGCTTTATCAGTAGTCTTCCAGTGCCCGAGCTTATCTGTGCACAAGGGTTGTGCTGGCCTACTTTAACCTTCTGCTCACTCACTTTACCCAGTCAAGCACAATAGTTTCATGTTAATCACTGGTCGTCAGCTTTCTTTCATTGTGGTCGAAGTAGTACTTTGTCGCTAATGCTGTGGAGAATGATCAATTGGCTTCTTGATTTGTTTCACCAAACAGTGTGTACACTGTTTTTTGTTTTTTGTTTTGGGCAGAGGGGTTGTTCATGCATACCTAATCAATCGAAAGTGGTGAACCGCGGCTCTCTTAAGCAGGCCGTCTTAAGTCACATGAAGAGAAAGTCTTAAGTGAGCTGATTCTCATGTGACGGGGTGTGACCAAACACCACAAGTTAAGGTCATAAAAAGACATGTCATTTCAAGATATGCAATAAATAGTGTTTATGCTACGCATTGATAAGCTATTTGTGTCATTTTTTTTCAGCGTGTCCAGGCCCTCTCAGTAACTTGCATAGAGATACTTCAGGACTCCAAACCTTAAAAGTCTCTCATGTCTTAAAATACCACACTGGGCTTCTTCATCTTTCTTTGGTTAGTTTAAGTTTTGGTAAGCCGCTCGTTCCTGCCGACTGCTGTCAGGCTATTGAATAGACAAACCTGAAAACCTGGACTCACTCCCACTTACCCATTTTAATATACTTATATTTGTATTTTATAATTTATATTTCTTTATGTACTTTTTGTTCTTCTACTTCTCCCTTTCATAATTTTGCTGCTGTAAATTGTGAATGTCTCCATTGTGAGACAAATAAAGTTTTTCTTATCTTATTTTATCTTATCCCTTTCAAGGACAGCGGTTCCTACAGTGGACATCTTATCATGTTACCAGATTACGGGTTATCATTGTTGGTGCATGAAAGTGCTAAACTGCTGTACTTTGCAGTCTATACTAAGGGAGACTAACATATGAAGGCTAGTCAAGTGAGTGCTGTTAGGTGGTTGTCTATGTGGCTAATAGGTCAACTATGATGGGCGGGGCAGGGGGATGAGAGGAAGGATGAGCAAGAGATTTTTAAAGCTCTGATGATGGGCAAATGTTTGGCGAGCAGCTTGAGGAGGGTGGAGTGCAGCGCCGGGAGATCAGTGGAAGGCATAGAAATGGATGGAAATCGGAAAAGTCACGCGAGTGACTCGTTGCCAGATACCGAGCTGACATCATAGTTTGGGTTTGGAAAAAAAAAAAAAAACTATTCTCAAATCCGTCACAGAATGATTTCACATTCTGGCGTGTTGTAGAACTTAAGTTACTCCAGAGTGAGGGTTTCCGTTGTCCTGTTTTGCACTTCATAACGGGCCACTAATTTTAAAGGGAGACAGGTTTGGACTAGTCTTGAACTCCAACTTTTTTACTACGAAGCCCATTTAAACTTACATAAAAGAACGATGGACTCCTAGCTTGTGCGGTGGGGTCATTTTTGTTTCAGACACTCATAGATTATTTTGAACCTGACTTCAAGCGCACTGAGGTCTGCGTCCAGCAGTGCTGCAATAGCCCGCTGCAGTTCTCAGCACCCAGAGTTGCAGAGAACTGTTCGCATATATGCTTGTTTAATGATCAAAGTTTTCAGTCAGTGTAGAATCGAAAGTGATTTGCCATGTGAGTCCAACTATTTTCAAAGTGTACAACTCAAATTTGAAGCGGGATCGGCGTGGCCAACTGTTACCCCCCGAGCGGGAGATACACGCGTTTTTACGCTCGATCTCTCATTGCTCCCACACTATTTTCCACCCCCGTCCATGAAAGTCTCACGCTCACACAAAGAAAGGCAGTTGGAAAAAAAAGGTTTTTATCATGCATGAAAATGGCCAACTGTTAGCTGTCTAAATTTTTTTTCATCCTACCGTCAAAGTAAAAAAAAAAAAATACAGCACAGTACTGTATATCTGTTGGAAGATGAATAACCTTTGCAAAAGAGTGACCAGCTAGTCACTCGCATATTTACAACAGCAGTTACGAGTAACTAACAAAAACGTCTGGCTTTCAGTGATACGCCTTTTACTTTCCTAAGCCCTCCCGCCAACCTGCTGCCCCCCCCTTGCCGCTGTGAACTGCACTGGTGTCGCTCAGTGTGTGCTTGCTGTGTAGCGGTCCCAAGGGGCTCATCTCATCACATCCTCAGTGTCGTAGGAACAAAATTACAAGATGCAAATAACTTGCTAGACAGTCATTGTGTGTATGTGTGTCTGTGGGGCGGCAGTGATTATGTGAATTCTAGATTTGTACCTATCCACAGTATTGGAATCTTTGTTCTCTGTGTCGACATGGATGCACCTTGAACTTGACCCTCACACGCATACATCATATAGAAAACGTATATACGGTTGTACATTGCGTGATGTAGTTCTTTGTCATGCATGAACCAAAGGCAGTTATGACACGCAGCGACTCCTAAATGGAAACTTTGAGCTTTCCAACAGATCCTCAATGTTGTTTATCGCTTCACTCCTCAAGGGCTGTTGCGTCGCCTGCGGTGGCGGTTTCAATATGGCCTCTCTTGAAACACCACTTTTCTCTTTCGCTGTCTTCAACCTCCTTTTAACCGGGGAATGTGAGTTCAATGAGTTTCACAAAAATATGGCCTTTAAAAAAAAGAACAATCAACTTTATTCAGGCATTTAATAGCTGCTGTTCAGTTTTGATCATAGCTGTATCACGGGTCATTTCTATGAGATTGTTTGAAATGAAAAGAAATAGCCTTTGTGGTAGTGAGGTCTCTTCCCACCCTGTGACAATTTCCATAATCACGGAGACATGGAAACAACTACTGAGTTCAGCCCCGAGCAAGAATAATCAAAGAACCATTCAGTAATGCAAGAGCTCTATTAAAGCTCAGTATTTCATGTAATCACCGTTATGAACTCAACAAAACAACAGATGATGAAATAAGTACTGCGACGCAATTTTGCAAATTCATCAGCACCAGAAAACCAAATCGTTACAGTTAACTACCACATCGGTGACATTTCAAGTCAAGCACTCAATGTATTTATATGTCGCCCTTAAACACAGAAAACTCTCAAAGGTTGACAAATATTAAACTTGAAAAACTCTGACAGTGGTTCACTGGCCAATCAAGAGGCCTTTTATAATGTCTCTAACTATAGTAAATGTTCTGTTTCAAATTACTTATTGGACTATCTAAAACCCTGCTCAAGCTGGGTGAATTTCTTTCTCAACTTGAAGTTTCAAGAAAGGCCGACTGGAAGTTCCTGACTGATTGTCGGATGATTTCATGAAATGCCATTTTTCATTTTTCCCCAAATTGTTTCTCTCTCTTTTTTTTAGTTTGTCCTTGTCCTCAATGTGGGGGTTAAGATCAGGGGATGTTGTTAAACAAAACAACTCGACTGCCTTTGCAGTTGACGGGAGCACGATTTCCCAATGATTTCAGTGGATGACTCATTATTTGGCTGATACCAGACCAAAAAAAAAAAAAAAACAGACAGACAGACCAACAGACGGTATGCATGTTTTTTTTTTCTTTCTTTTTTTTAATTCTGTATGTGGGCTCTTTAGCGACACCTTACTCAGAGGTTTTCTGAATCCTGTGTTGTCTCAAATGAGCCCGGCAGCTATTGTGAGCTTCAGCCTTGGGGGGAAGCGTTCTGCGGGAAGATTCTCCTACTCTCTTTTTCTTTCTTCCTTCGGTTGTTCTTGAATTCAATATGACTTAATGGCGACTCATTACCTGTAATGAGGACGTTGTTTGTCGGCTTACCATGTGCCAATTGATCGGTGCAAAGGAGTCACAGCGGGGCTGACATTTGAGTGCAATATGCTGAAGTAAAAAGGCCTGAATAATTTAGGTTTTTTTTTCATGATTATATCAATGAGAAGTGGTTTAGCTGACCTCCCTTGTGTCTCGAGTGAGTGTATATAGAACACAAAAGAAAGCGTGGGAAGTTGCAGTCAGACCAAGAAAGCAACAGACGGTAATAATAATAAAAAATAATAAAAACAAGTAAAAACTTTCGGCATCCTATCAGTGATAACAGAGTGACTTGGACCAGTGATTGACAACCTTGATTGCGCCACGGTGCATGTTTGAAGTTCTTAAAATCGCATGACACACCACCAAATAGAATTGTCACAAAAAAATGAAAGGATACATATGTCAATTTCATACTTTTTTGCCATCTAATAGACGATCATTTATTTGTTTTTTCTGTCACGATAAGTTGCCGGCATAGATAGAGACACAAAGATACATTATTTGTTATTAATAAATAATAATTTTCTCACCAATGAAGTGGAATTTGATAATGCAACAGTTAGAGCTCTCACTCAGGTGCCCCGGCACACTGGTTGGGAATCACTGACCGAGACAAAACACAAACGGCCAAGATCCCTATTTAGCGTATTTATTTGGCTAGCCCCCTCCATGCTAGTGGCAAGATCAGCATCAGACATCATCACTAACAAAGAGGATTAACAGGACATGATCAATTATCTTTAATTCTATCAGAGGCATCTTCCCCCTCACAATCTTTCGATAAAGATGAAGTCATTGAGGGTTTCGGACATGACTTCTGGTGGGGAGATGTAATTTGGTTTGGGCTGTAACTTCTTTAGCCGAACTAGAAATAGGTTGCGCATGTTCATATTTTGTCTTTGTGAGGCGGAGATATCTGACAGCTGTTGCTAGACGAACAAACTAGCTAAATCGCTCCTTTTGATTTTTGAGAGTTAACATTGGTTTCACAAACCACAAACCTTTTGGTACCATACATGAATAACGCAGCCCACTTGTTCATTTAGTCGCTGTTGCTGTGTTTCATTTAATGACACAATTCACAGGAGAAGAGTCCTTGATATACGCACAAGCAGATGACATTGAAGCTGTGATTTACAACTCACACATAGGCAACCTCTCCAAACAAAATGATTTAAAACAAGATAATACGCTGACGCTACCTTTTTGGTGATGCAAAGTTTCAATTGTGTTGGCTAGACATCCATGAGGCTTTGCTATACTTTCGAACATTTTAAATCCATATTACTGAGTGGACCAACAGAATTCAATGTGATTCTCGACATGATATGCGTCAAATATTCTTTCAGCTAATAATGACATAAGAGTACTGATCTGACTCTGACATATTTGTGTTGAACAAACATTTTTTTCCCTCAGCAGTTCATGCGCAGTTCTACAATCAACCGGGAAAAAAAAGATATTGTTCATTAATACCACTTTGACAATGTTTTTGACACAGCGCTTTTATATATGATCGAATTAGATCATTCCGTTATACTTAATGTTGTGTCTTGCAATGGTATCTTTTGTGCCTGAAGTCACCGATCGCTTTCTGGCTCCCCTTGCAGTGAGCGTCCACGCATTGGATGTGATGGTGTCGCAGAGCAGTATCCAGGTAGCCCGAGGCCAAGCAGCCGTCCTGCCTTGCTCCTTCAGCACCAGCGCTGCTCTCAACAACCTCAACATCATCTGGATGGTGATCCCACTGTCCAATGCCAACCAGCCGGAACAGGTGCAGTCACTTACACACACACACCCTGGCTCACCCACAGTGAAGCTGCGCTCAATGCCGCAGCCTCTTGAGTGAAGGAACGGTGAATTAAAGGAGGGATGCCGAGAACACGTAGTCCAGTAGCCCCGGGAATAGTTGTTCTAACTCACTTTCCAATGTAACCTCACCGCATATGCCCCATGTGGATCGCTGCTTTCACCTTGACATCTTGCAGTCAAAACAGGTACAAACGATTCCGACGATGATTTGGAACAAGGTGTGTTCAGATAGAGCCTGAAGAGCACTTCCGGGAACAGAAGTTTGGCCATGCAATTGATTGAAATTATTTTCAAGAACTATTGTACAGATATATCCAATCAAACTTTACTATTGTACTGCATCATACAGAGATGTAGCTCTCTCTATATAATAATATGTATATCAATATATTTACACGGTATATTTATTGCTAACTAGAGGCAGTTCTCAGTTGAACAGCAAGTGTGCCAGGTGAAGTATCCAGTATATATTGGAGTCGTTTAGACTCATTCTAAGTTCTAGATCCTCTCTCTCCTGTTTGTGCAACACACGCAGTTTGTGGCAAGAATGGCCAGTCTAAATCTTATTTGTTATGACTTTCGTCATGTTCTGCCATGCTCGCAAAGACGGATTTAAATGGGATCCCGTAAGTGTCATAAAACATGCCCGGAAGTAAAATACTTTGTGAAACACATAAGACACCGATGACCATTTGCACGGACACAAATTGTCACTGAAATTCAAGTAAAGCAAGTCGCGCACACATATGGAAAGTGTCATACCAGAATTCATGCACCAAGTAAAAAGAAATGTGCACTCACGAAACACGTGATGCATGCAAATGTTAATTCCATGACCGTCATGCATGCAAGTACATCAGCAAAGTAGCATTTTTATCCTTCTCCCCATGTACGACATTAATACATTAAAAGAATCGTACGGGTTCTTCTCTATCTGGCTTCTGACATCTTTGTATTGGATCATGAGGTTGGCTCATAATGAAGCAAAATAAAAGCAATCAGCAAAAATTGCTACTTCTGAATATGAAGTGAGGTTGTTCCTGATTGTGTTGTGATTTGCTACACATGAAACGAACCTGTCACCGTATACGCTAAATGAGCCATGTGACAAACCGTACCCATGATTCATGCAAAGTTACAATTTTACAGCCAAATGTATACAGGTAGAGAATCTCTTTTTGGTGCATCTGAACGCACCTTGGGAATATAAGTTATGTAGAAGTAGTAGCTTTTAGGCTTTAATAGATGTAGAGGTTGTGGGTGTGGCCTTGCTGTTTATAAGTCTACCAAGTAGTTTTATTATTATTTTTTTGCTTATTCTACAGAAACAAACTGAAATGAAAGAATAATGTGCTCTCTTTTGTCTCGTGGTGTTAGTTTAACATCCTGCGCCTCATGCTGTGCCACCTTAAGTGTGTTTTTTTTTTCTCACCTACCCTCTCTCACTGTCAGCTTAATTTGTCCTTCCCGCTTTCAGGCCTTATGCGATTCATTTTTAACTTATTTAACATGCAGCTGCTGGCCATACAAGCTCACCTGCCTCCCCTCACTTTGAACCTCCGCTGGTCGGCCGTCCAAATAATATGATTATCTTCTGCACTAATTACCTCATGCCCACGACAGGCTCTATATAGCAGCTGTTCACCACACGCAGAAGCTCTCAGACATACACGCCGACGCCACAAACTAGCGTCAGACGGGCCGCCCGTCCATATCGCAGCACAAATCTGCGCATGCATCCATGCATAGCTTCAATATATTTACTGTGTTCACGCAACACGTAGAGACACAAACATGCATGGCGCGTGTGAACTCAGATCCATGAATTCATACAACTAAAAACTGCATACAGCCCATCACGCCGTGATGGTCTCGCTGTGATGCTCAGGTATGCTCAACAAATGTAGTAAACAGAGTGACTTCACGCGATTATCAGCTGCTGTCAACTGACAAGATTGTACACTGCCACTAGAGATTTGTTGTTTTATGCGGCACCATCGCTTGACATTACATAATGTGTACTTTAGAAGTATAAAAACACAGGGTAGCAACTTTTTAAGTGCACATTGTCACAAGCAACAGACTCGTGCAAGGACGTACACAAGCAGAAACAAGCACTTTCAGTTCTTTGTGTGAATTTGCGTGGTGGGTGTGGGGGGCGGCGACAGTGCTAGAACAAGGTCATTTTGGAGAAAGAGAATGTCATAAATGATTACAGTTGATGCTAAAAGCCATTAAGAATTACTGAACAGAACTCTGTACACTTACACACCCTCGCGGCGTGCGTTAGCACTCTAAAAAGCGCTCTCGGACCACTCAGCTCGCGCTCAGTCTTCTCAAATTTGAATACCCTGTTCAGATAAAAAGCGACAGTGCTACTTATTGAGCTGCGTTACACGGCAAAAGCATGAGAAACGTCAAGCTCCTCACACAGAAACTTGGCTTCTTCGGCGTTACGCGGGAAAAAACATTTTTAATTTGCTTTGCTTGATGTTGTTAGTTTTCATTCTGTCACATGTTTGTGTGTTTTACAGCCACCGGTCTACAAGGCCAACTCCACATTCTATTCTATTTTAAGGATTTGGTCACGAATTAATTTGGTAACACATCGTATCGATTGCTTGGCGACAACTCCTGGGGCGTCTTGCTCAAAGTCAGCTGGGGTAGGCTGTAATTCACCCACGACCTGAATGAAGACAAGCGGTATAAAAAAATGAAGAGCTAGAAATGGATAGATGGAGGAATAGAAAACATAAACGCAGATCCAAGCCGACGTGGTTTCTGTGCCCTAACTCGGCACATTGCGCTCTTGAGGTCCAGAGTGTCCATGATGTTGTTGCAGACGTTTTTTTAATTTGCTTATAATTAATTCACAACCCTTTACCCTATAGACCAGTGTGAAATCTAGGATTCTGAAATTCTGAATGCATGTTGTATTCATTAATTCATCCGAGAACTATCATTTGATGTTTCAGTCAGAGTTTGAGGCTTTCATTAAATATAGTTACAAGTAAAAAAAATTTAAAAAAAGTTTTTTTTATTGCTTTTTTTGACATCATCTCCTCTTGTCGTGATCCATCCATTTTCTCATCCGCTTATCCTCACACTATTTATTTTATCAGTGTCGCTTCTTGAACGGAGTATATAATAACAAATTGCCCTGCGATTGGCTGGCAACCGGTTCAGGGTGTCCCCCGCCTACTGCCCGAATATATCTATCTATCTATCTATCTATCTATCTATCTATCTATCTATCTATCTATCTATCTATCTATCTATAGATAGATATTTCCTCTCAGACCACCACTAAGCCATGCCATCCATAAAAGCACCACATATTTTATGTTTTACTTTCGCATCATGGTGAGGGCCAATCAGAGACTGTGGGTGTGTTAATTAGTGGTTTATTCCATTGACTCTGATGTGTGAATCACAAAGGTTAAATGTCGAAAGGATATTTTTAGCAGCTGTTTGAATACAGAAAAGTATAATTTTACAGTTTGAAGTGAACCGCTGCTCTGGTTATATTGAGGTCAGTGATAATCTGTGGTGCAAAACTAACGTTAATCTGTAATAGAGAACATCTGTCAACGTATTTCGGATGATCAGATTTTGATCCTCATCCGAACCGTCCAGTCCATCAGAGGATGAATCTAAGGCATACGCAATGCAATTGACTTTTCCCTCTGGGGATGGGATCAATAAAAGATCGTTTTAGGCCAGGTACACACATCAAGACAATTAAGTTGTTTTTGTTCTGATTTTGGGTGGCACGGTAGATGACTGGTTAGCTCATCTGCCTCACAGTGCAGAGGTCCGTGGTTTGATTCCGGGCCACGACCATACTTTGTGGCATTTGCATGTTCTCCCCATGCCTGTGTGGGTGCTCTCTGGGTACTCTGGTTTCCTCCCACATTCCGAAAACATGCATGATATGTTAATTGAGCTTGCGAAATTGCCCTAGGGTGTGATTGTGAGTGGTTGTTTTTCTTTGGGTGCCCTGCGATTGCTGGCAACGAGTTCAGGGTATAACCGGACTATTGTCCAAAGACAGATGGGATAGGCTCCAGCGCACCCGTGAGCCATGTGAGGATAAGTGGTCTAGATAATGGATGGATGGGAGATCAGGTTTTCTCCCTTATTATTGGGATGTCTGGTGGGAATCATGCTCTTGAGGTCACACCACAGCATCTCTATTGGGTTGAAGTCAGGACTGCTGAGCTGCCAACTGTTATGCATTGTCCGTATATTTCTTCGGAACTCCCTAAACGCTACTTTATCACTGCTGTAACATGTATTGTTCCGGATATACGTCAAGCCGACCGTCCATCCATCCATTTTCAGTGCCGCTTATCCTCACAAGCAAAAATACTTGGTATTGCTGTAATTAATAACAATAAATAATGACGAAAATATTTATTTCTCCCTCTCTCTCTCGTATTTGGTCATTCCAGAAGTCTTACTTTCTTCTGCTGCAGCCATTTAATTGTCGGATTAGTTTTGGGTCATTGTCCGATTGCTTTACCCATCTACTGTTAAGCTTCAATTGGTAGACAGATGGACTTGGTATAATAAACTTGGGAAATCATTTTTCAATGCATCCAGTCCCTGAGGCAGGAAAGCAGTCCCAAAATATGATGACATCCCCTCCTTCACCCCCCACCACCATTACCGTACACTTCACAGTGTGGATGAGATTTTGATGGTGATGTGCTGTCCTCTTCCACGGAAATCGCGCGTCAGGGAGATTTTTAAACTCTACGAAAAATTTTCAAGGCAGTTATGCGAATGAGAACCCTCTTGGGCATTTGTAAAACAGGGTGAATGCAACAAAACTGAACAGTATGTAATAGGGAATAGTGAAACTTGGAGGTCCGAATCTGGATGGAAACCATACGAGGTGTATCAGAAGAAACTCAAGTTTTCCCCTTCAAAATAATGCCGTTGAAGTCCAATGCACTTTTGGAGCTTCCTCTGACATGCCTTCATGCACTTCTGGAAGGATTCTTCCTGGTTTCTCTGCTGCTTTGTGGTCACATCCATCTCAATAACACCCACGTCTTCAAATTGTTCCTTATGTTTGACACCATTGCCATTGGGAAATAGGAAAACATCTCACAGAGCGTCAGATGCTCAGGACATCGTGAGCATGTACGATGTCATGGAGAAGTTTTCGTGCCAACAATTGTCACCGCTTCTCGCACACTGAATGAAGCAGGATCTCTGTGGAGACGTTCTAGTCGGCTGTCTGATAATTTGAAAATAAATGATGAAATTAAATTCAGCATCTTTTCTCGGAAAAAAAAACAAAACAAAAACATATTGCTGGTGGATCGTATACATGCACAGTGATGCTGTGGAAACACGGTTGACCGTAAAACAGAGTAGGACCATATGGCAAACCTGCAGTTTAAAGTGAGCGAGGGCTCATAATGTTGATGTCATGTCTCAGAGGATAGAAAGAGATAACAGTGACGGCTTATGGTTAGAAAATTGAAGGGAGGCTGTGGGGGTTTAGAGGTTTATTCAGGCTTTATTTAGACGGTAGCAGTATCCCTTGTATTCGCAGCCAAAAGGTCCTTTGGGTTGCTCAGAAATAGGCTATAGTCCTCAGAAAATAACCAGTTACGGTAGCGATGCTTCTCCAACACACGTGCAATGTAACGCTTTAGGTTAAGAGAAATGATGGAGCTTAGGTTGACTGGTAGAGAGACAGTGGCATGTCCAGACTTGTGTTCTTTGCTCGGTTCGTCATCTGAATGCCTGCGCTGACCTCTTTTCTGTCGGCGCACAGTGACCAAGCCAAGCAGGTCACGCGGGGGGATGAGGTGTTTTCGACACATACACTACATTTGGCGATACAGTATGCATACGCTTACACACTTTTAGAATAAGGCATTGAATTGACTCTTTCCCACTGCTTACTTTTAATCCTCCGCTCATCCATGCACACGCAAACGGAATGTTAAATGGTGAGGTCGATTGACTGGATCGTTTTCGGTGTACATCGAGATTATATTGTAAAGTCATCAGAGTATGAAACAGGATTGCATAGGTGTCAGGACAGACAGACTTGACCGATGCAAGTGAATGCGTGCCACCGTGACACGCGGGGAGAACCGGGGACAGTTATTTTGGCAGAGCAATCACACACTCTCAACCCCGATATACACCAATCGCGCGAGTAAATGAATGCACACTGACATACCAAACGGCACAGACTTGGAGGAGATGAAGTTGCAGGCTCTCATCACAGCTGAGGAGCTGCCTATTCATCTGCACGTAAGAGGACAAAGCGAGCGCGCTGCACTCAGGAAATTGCAGCCGTGCAATTTACAACCGTTAAGCAGCAGTGAAGGACAGTAGACACACACACACACACACACACACACACACACACACACACACACACACACACACACACACACACACACACACACAGATTTCATCAAAACTATCCCTGTCACGCTCGCAGACACACACACTGAAGCTAGTTGTTTCCCTGGCTGGGTCTTTGAACAGTTCAGTGAGGTCTCTTTTCAGCCAAATGAATGGCCCCTCTGATTCCCTTCTGTGTGTGTCGGTGTGCGCATGTGCACAAAACCATGTGTTTGTGCGTGTCCTCTTCATCTTTTGTGCAGGCCCAGCTGAGGGGTGGGAGCTGTTTTGCATGGGGCTCGGCCACACAAACCAGCCTGTTCAAAGCGAGTTCAAAATCAGAGCAGGGCTTTTAAAAAAAAAAAAAAGCCTTTGTTTTATTTATTTCTTTTAACGTACTTCAATTTGGAATTTTGTGAATGTTATTCCAACCTTTAACGGGCTCCGAACAACAGCGATATTTCGTTGCAACAGATCGCTGTTGATAATTTTTGAAGGCAAATAGTTTCAATTATTCATTCTATTAAGTCGATGCTTTTTTAACTTTAGAGACTTATAGCTTTGAGAAAGCATACCTGTATAGTATGTTCTCTTTTGTCACTCAGCCAGAAGTGACCACTTATTCGTCTGTATGCTTGATTTTTTTTTTCTCATGGGATACAGGTGGTTGTTATTTCTAATTACGTTGGAATGTAACATTTTCTCCTCCCTCTCATGTGATTTTGCTTTTTTTGTAGTTTGTTTGGTTTTGTTTCGGCAAAAATAAATATAACAGTCAATTAATAAACAGTCGTCAGAAAAAAATGATTTTGCGATACATTTTAATGCAAAATACAGTTGTCATCAGATTATTCAATCAATGGATGGAATAATCAATAAATTAATCGAGTTCGAAAAATAGTCAATGGGGACAGCTCTACTTTTCACACCTACGCTGAGTAAAACTCCACCCACCCCTCAAGCAAGAAAAATTGTAATTAGCCACTGCTTTTTTTTTTCTTCAGATTTTAGTCATGTGGTTGTTCAGTTTCCAAGCGACAAAAAGTAAAAAAGCTCTCCACAAAAATTTCTTCAATGTATATATTTTTCCCCTTCAACTGTCATTTCCCTGAACGATGGCTCTGCCATCAATGTCAATAATTTCATCTTTGTCTCCACCCATCCCCCCCTCACTTTGCTGGTGCCACCTCTGTTCTCCCTTCTGTGATGTGCCGATCCAGGTGATCATCTACCAAGGCGGCCAAGTGTTCAGCCTCGCGAACCACCTCAACGGACGTGTGGGCTTTGTGTCCACCATGCCAAGTACAAGTGCCTCCATCTTCATCAACAACACCCAGCTGTCAGACACGGGAACCTACCAGTGTCTGGTGAACAACCTCCCGGACAGGGGGGGGCGCAATATTGGTGTCATCGGGCTCACTGTGTTAGGTAGTAATCCTATAACCGTTGTCGAAGTGATTATTGACAATTGTCTTTGGCTTAGCAGATGTCTCTTAGCTCCATGTTAGAGAACAGCAATTGTGCAAAACAGTTCTGAAACATTGAAGAGTTGGACATGTGCATTCAAAAGTTTTGCTGCATTTGAGGTCATTTGGCCCGAATGCCAAATATCACAACTTTTTTATGAGTAGTGGATAGTTTATTTGTCATTTTATCTTCACTTCACAAATCATAGTGTGACATATATGCACCTGCTGAATTAAGTACCTCACTTTTACTTACCTGACCATATACGGTCATTTCCCATCCGTCTATGTACCGTATTTTCCGCACTAAAAGGCGCACCAAAGCCTTCCATTTTCTTAAAAGCTCACATAGCGCCTTAAAATCCGATGCACCTTATGTATGGTCATTACGGTAATATGTTGCCCCCCCCCCCAAAAATGGCTCCTTGCAAGAGAGACATGCTTACAATGCAGAGTTCAAATGTAAGGCAATCGGGTTCGCAGTCGAACGCGGAAATAGAGCAGCGACAAGCGAGTTCAACGTTAACGAGTCAATGTTATAACTTGCTGTTGGTTAAGTGAACTGTGTCGCTGCTTTATTAAATAAGTTTTACTTACATCTGATCGTTGCTATATAAATCAGGCTGTAGTGTAGTGTTCTGTTGGCATTTCCTTGAGCGTAGGTCCATCTAGTGGATGCATTGTAGATTGCATCTTATAATGCGGTGCGTCCAATATATAAAAAAAATTACAAAATAGGCCATTCATTGATGGTGCGCCTCATAATCCAGTGCACCTTTTAGTGTGGAAAATACGGTAAACGTAATCTTGTGTTAAAAATAAATAAAATAAATTGCATCGTAAAGTGGTTGACATCTTACCACCCACTCTTTTCATCTGTCAGTGCCCCCCTCGGTGCCAGCATGTCGAATCCAGGGAACGCTGGATGTAGGCAGTGACATCATGCTGTTTTGCAGCTCAGATGAAGGTATTCCAACACCGTCCTACTCGTGGGAGAAGCTAGACGCGCTGCCCAAGCTGCCGCACAACGCCATGCAAGGTATTAGAAACAAGCTGGCCATCGGGGTTCCCTTTTGCCCCACCTTTGCTGGTAAATGTAACACACAGGGAGCGCAGGCTCCGCCGTCCGTCCATTATCACTACCATACCTGGAGATTTCCGCCCTGTGATCCTCCTGAGGACCGATGTCCCGTTGTGCGATTGAAATGAGAAAAAGGAGAAATGTGTTGCGTGTGTGTGAGATCAAGAATTGGTGGTGTTATTTTCACCCACTTCTCTCATGCTGACTACCAATTGCTGACGTTTTCACACTTCATCCAAGAAGCACTTGCATGTGTTAAACTGGATGCTGTCACTCGGCAGCTGGCATTCAGCCTAAGAGAGCTTTTTCGTGGCCTCTCCTCTCTTATCCGGCTGTGTCCTTTGCACAGCAGACAGTCTTCATCACCTGTTGCACTCTGTGTACACTACCGGTCATATAAAGGCTCATGTACAAAGAGTACACGTTTTCGACAGAAGCAATGGCAATTGAAACTGCATGTTCATGACTGTAAATTAGACTCTCTTCATGTCAATAAAATATCCAGGCAGTTGTTGGAGCCTTTTCGTGAAACAAGTAGTGCTTTTACACAGCGCGTGCAACCTCTTAACTCATTCATTTCATTTTGTGAAAAAGTCAACTAATCTGCAACAGTTATTAAGTATGCAGAATATACTCCGTGGCCAAAACATTGCGTACACCTGCACAATGATCCAATACAATACCTGGTATAACATTTCTGCCTTCACAAAGATAACAATGATCGGTATTGATCCAACCACTTTGAGTAAAAGCCCATAACCACAATACACTTATTTTCGCACAAATAACCAGATTAATAAACAAGGATAAATCAATATATCGACGATGGGTTCAATCAAAACTGCGCATAATCTTTCTTAAGGCAGAATATTTCTACCGAGACGCTCATAAGAGTGCAGTAATAGCTTGTCGTCCATTTTCTACTAAAGCTATCTGGCGCCCCCTGTTGGGTAGTAGCAGAAGTAGTTCAAACCGATCTGCGGAACAAAAGGGAACTCTTAAAATGCTATTTAACCTATTCGAAAAGCAACACAGTTCCCATCCTTCAACCAAATGTGTGTAATGGGAATCATGCTGCATGTTCTGGCTTTACAACCCGTGTGTGTGTCCCACAGACCAAATGCAGGGCACTGTAACACTGAGAAACATCAGCACCGGTACCTCAGGACTCTACCAGTGCACCTCCAGCAATGCCATCGGCAAGAGCACATGCCTGCTCAATCTTCAGGTTGTTGCACGTAAGTTCTCCAAACACACGGCTCTTCTAGCTGTCGAATAGTTGTGCCTCTGTCGACTCACTTACTTGTATTTGTTGACGTTTCATATGAACTGGCTGAAGTAAAGTTCAAAAGCCTTGTCTGTGACATTTGTCAAGGTGATATGAGAGCAAGAATGAAACCTTATGGATTGTCAAACGTTGGCGTATTTGACACAAATCAGGCCGAAATGAAAACGGGGTTTGTCAGACAGGGACAAACTGCAGTTTGAATTCATGCGTTGTGGTTGACCCGCTTGATTATATTTCCGTCGAGCATCACTTTATGCAAACACAGACGAGAGAGCCTCTCCTATGTTTCTCATTTTACAAATGAAGTTCTTGTAGGCTGAAATGCGCGGTGCATTCTGAATATGGACCTTCGCTCGGAGTTCTTTACGTGTCTTTTTTTTTCTTTGGCAATCTGTTATTTCCCTTATATTATACAGTATCAAAGTATTTGTCTCCCCCCCCCCCCTCCAACATTCTTTAGCCCAGCCTCAGAGTGTGGGTCTGATAGCAGGGACCATTGCAACTGGAGTGCTGGCACTCATCATCTGCTGCCTGTTGGTGGTGGTCACCCTCTACTACTGGAAGAATAAGAACAAATACGAGGAGGAAGAAATACCCAATGAGATCAGGTTCATCTTTTTTTTTCTTTTCTAAACGAGGTAACAATGTAGAATTGTAACATTGATTAAACAAAAGTATTGGTACAATTATTTGTACATCCACTCGCTCTCACCAGGATTTTATAATGTCTTAGGGAAGTTTTGTATTCAGTATGTATTCCGGCCCATTCTTAAGCGATTTACCAATCAGGCATTTGCCATTATTAGTCATTTTTCATCTTACCTTACAAGACCTTTTGAAGAGCTGTCTGCTTCCAAATTTTAGCAACAAAATGGTTTGTTGAATTTGCTGAGGAGGAACTTACAAAGAACTCTGACAACACTCTCAAAATATTGAAGGGGCCTGGTCGTCACACTTCAGTCTCACAAATGTTTGTCGCGACACGTGACAAAATATTGGCGGAAGTCCTCTCAGATGTGTGGAAGCTGTTTTACTGTCGCCGCAGAGTGAGACTGATTATATTGTCAGTTTAGTTTTTCATTTGATGTAAGTTAAGTGATGGCAAAATCTATCCATCCATTTAACTTTTTTTTTTTTTTTTTTTTTTTTTTACATTTTCTGTACCACTTGTCAGGGAGAGTGGAGTAAGTTGAGGCACTTTTATGGGATCACTACAAGAAGTTCGTTAAATTTGGGGGTAAACTAATTGCTCTTCCTTCCCTCACTGCTCCATACTCCGTCCTTTCTTCTATTCAACACTTGTCTCGACCAATTTCACAACCTCCCCATTTTACTTTATATTCAATTTGTCCAGGTTGCAGGAGAATACAAACAGACTTTCCCTCCCTCACTTCCTTGGCTGCTTTATCAAGGACTTCAGTGGGGGGGTTAAACCCCTGTTCAATTTTACGCTAGTACACACAGGGCATAATGTCCAGGTTTTTTTTTCATTATTATCTTAATTTCCGAATGTGACGTGATTTTTCATGTCGATGTGAACAGTACAATTCAAATTTTTTTGGGGGGGGGGGGGGGATTTCCCAAAAGGAAGGGGGGAGGGGCCTTAGAAAAAAAAAATAGAGCTAGAACTAGCGCTATAAAAAAATAAAAATGAATTGATGAAAAATGAGAATTGGGGGCGACAATGCACACGAAGACATACCAGCATCCATTGTCGAGCATTTTTGACAATATTCAATGCATAGAAGAAGAAAATAGCATTTGAATAGCAGTCTACTCTGGTGAAGCTTTTTACCTTCATCACAAACAATCCGGGTTGGTTATATCTGTTTTGAAAGCAAATATCCTCTCACTCGCTCATCACCACAGGGAAGACGACCTCCCGCCAAAGAGGTCCTCATCAGTGAAAGCGTTCCACGCCGATGCTTCATCCTCAGAGAACGACACCCTGACCTCCACCAACACCTACAACAGTCGCTATTGGCACAACCCCAAACCCAACTACGACACCAACTCGTACACGCGTTACAACGGAGACACGCGGCAGACCTTCGCCACCGCTGTCCATGGCACACACGGACACAGACAGTCCCAGAACCCGGGACACGGACACGGCTCGGCGGTCACAGCACCGGGCTCCGCCCCGCTGTCTCGCCACCCTCAGCCCACCGCGACGACCACGTCCTCCTTTGCCAACGGCAGCCACACACTCCCGCCACCCAAGACCCTGGTGGTCACCACAAACTCAGCCCCATCTCCCACCACCATGGCGCGCAGCAACGGCTCCGTGAGCCTCAAGCCAGTGGTGACGCCCACGCACGGGCAGCATACGCACTCGTACGCTGTGAGCCAGGCCACGCTGGAGCGGATGGGAGCGGTGCCCGTCATGGTGCCCGCACAGAGCCGAGCGGGCTCGCTGGTCTGAAAACTTTTGCGCTTAACTCTTTGAAAACAAAACTTTTTGGGTTGTTTTTTTTTCGTTTGTTTGTTTGTTTTGTTTTCTTTTTTTGAAATCCAATAATGTCAACCAAACCGCATATGGGCTGAAACAGCCTGCTGTCCTTTATTTTACTATTACAACTGTGTCTTTCTCTACTCTGTGTGCTGCTGATTTTTTTTTTTTTTTTTTAACTAAAAACAAAGTCGGATTTTGCAGAGCAGAGTTCAAACAAGCTAATGCCAATTTATTTATTGAAATGATCTTACCTTTTATTTGGAAGTACAAGACTGAAATTAAATCCGTTTTTTTAATCACGTCGGATGGTTTTGTAACGACAGTATTGGTTTGTTTATCGGTTTTCCGCTAAACAATGCAGGCCTTTCAATCTCAGTGTACCGCGCGGTTGGACTGGAGTGAACTCAAATTCCTTTGTAAAGGAATTAAATCAGGATATTTTGTTTTTATGTTCAACAAATACAAAAACTGGGTTCTCGATGATGATAACGATGATTTAGCTTTGAAAAATTGAATGTTCCGGTGTCTGTTGGGAGGTACTTTAAGATGAACGTACGTTTGCGATGGCCTTAGAGGAGAAGAGAATGACAGGCTTTATAGGTGCAATACATTGCATAATACAGCATACTTAATTTCATGAAAATGTTTTAAATGTGTTGATGCACTTTTTTTCGAGCAATTTAGAGAGCCTACCAGCTTGTTAAGAACTGTCTTAACGATGACATGTTTTACCCCTACAAATCTTCAAGTACGCATCTCCATTTTGTTTTTAATTTGTTGTTTTTGTCTTTTATGTTTTGGTTACAGATATATATTTTCTTGCTATTTCTGAGACAAAAATGGAGATGTCTGCTTTAACTGTACTGATAAAATGTTGCTCTTCAAAGGATGACTGAAGTTTACATCCTGCTTTTTTTTTTCGTCTTTCCACTTCACTGCTGTCCTAATCTGGTCCGTCACCTCTGTGCTGCTTTTAGGAAACCATGTTTTTGATGAATTTAATTCATGCTTTATAAAGGAAGAAATATATACAGTATTTAAAAGATAATTTGTCCCCCCTACCCACTGATAAAAAGGAAAACAGCTTCTGTTTTTCTACTGTATATATTGTAACTACAACTGTAGGGTAGAATCGGAGTACATTTCAATTTGACTCGCGTGTCTTAAAATTTTGTGGCGTTGGAGGCGCAGAAAGAAAATAATGCTGATCCACTGAAGGGATTTTTTTTTCTTTTATTTGTATTTTTATTTTCCTCACAAATAATGACTTTTTTTTTTACAAGGCAGGCAAACCCAGTCTATTTATGCTGTATGTGGTAGAAATATATAAAACGTTTATATTTTAACCAAATTTTCAGCAGATGAACTCAGCTTTGTCATTTCTTGGGTGTTAATGCAATCTACTAAAAGGCTTCTCGCACAACATGATGCCGCACTTATTCGAAAGAGTTCATGCTTTTTTTTTTCAGTTTTATGAATGTTTTATTATTTACAGTTGAAAAATGCAATCTCAATTTTGTCTTTGAAACAATCTCGCATTGTGTTGAGCCAGTGTCACCTTCTTGTGTCATCTTGTGAGAGTTTATTTACACTGGGTTGAAACTGGATCTGACTTTTATAATTCTGTTTGTATTTAATGTTTGTAAATCCATGAAGTCAAAGCTGTACATGTGCCATTCTTCACTCCAATGAGAAGAGAACAAGATGGAAAAGTTCAGTTGGGTAAGTTGCTTAGAAGACGTGTTCATTAGCTCGTTATTGTGTATGCCCAATGTGGATCAAAGTAATAAGGCAAAGTTGGATTTCATTGCACATTCTCTTTAAACTCGCTCATGCTACTCAAACACAACCAAACTAAAAAGTCCAAAAATAACAAAAGCACACATGTAATCGCAACCCTTCTTATTTACCTGTCAAGTGTTTCCAAATCATTAAGATTTTCTCAGCATCTCGGACAATGTTCCCCAACGTGGTTGTTAACACCGAGACGTCCTCTTAAGGTTTCTGTTGTTGTTATTTAAGGGAGATTGGCCACCTGAAAGAGCGAAAATGGGGAAGTGGTGAAGAATCACCAGTCGTCCTGTGTCCGTGACCGAGCGTCTACAATGAGGTGTTAGAGCAAATAATGACCAAACCAATTTGTAAATATGTAAAGGAATCAATTTGTTCTTACTGTTGGTTTGAAATGTCAAATAGGAAACATAACACGAACTTGTAGAGAATAAAATATTGTTGATACAATCTTCAGCCTTTGTGTGTTTTTGAGTATGTACTTCTGTCGCTCTTCTTGAATGGTTACTACAATGCTTGTATGAAATGAGTTATGTGGACTCTACTGGAGTGTGCTGTGATGGAGAGTTTTTTTTAATGTATTACGAGTCACCATGGCGTGTGCGCGCGCGCGCACACACACACACACACACACACACACACACACACACACACACACACACACACACTTGTCATGGTTCTGTTTGTGACCAACAGGTGGCACTGTAGGGCTCCGCCTGCCGCTGCACACCTGTTGGTCATTGTGTCATTAGGGTCTGTTTAAAAGGACTGTTGGCACGACCACTCGGTGTTGGGTCATAAGTTTCTGTTGCTGTTACTTTTTTGCTTCAGCCATGGTTTGTGTTTGTTACTTTGGATTCTTTTTGTTTTCATGATTTTGTTTTGGATTTAGTTTCCTCAGTATTTTGTCTGTTGTTTTGTTTGCTTACGTAACCCCATGAGAGAATAACAAAAGACGTTGTTCCAAAACAGACTGGTCCCGGCCAGCATTCCCCAGACACCAATTTTACTTAAGAAAAATCTCAAGCCAAGCCACCAAACAAAAAGTGTGAATACTCATATAATGATCTTGTCTCTGCTTTGTCACAAATGCACTCACTCAGTGTGAATGACCTGCATGTCCTAAATGTGCAGCAGCCTCCCAGTGTGGAGTTTGCAGGCTCTCCCCCGTGCTGGTGTGAGGTTTCTCTGCTTTCTTCCCACATTCCAATATGCATGCTAGGTTAATTGCACATAGGTATGAATGTGAGTATAAATGTTTTGTTTTTTTTTGTCTGTATCCTGCCTTTCTTCTAAGTACAGCTCACCAGCAACCTTGATGAGAAATTGTATCAAAATTGGATGGCTGGTTGAATGTTCCAGAATCACTTCAGAAATGAACCACTAGATGGGAGTGTTGATGCACTTCATAAAAAATCACGAGTTACATCATAGAACAAATAAGGCAAAAAGTCTACCTTGACCAACAAAATAATGTTTACTTTTGATTGACACCGTCAGAGAGGTCTTCATTTAACAATACTCTTTTTTTTTTAAATATTGTGTTTGGACTTTTGATGGTGCACAATTGCAATTGCGTCATATAACGCGTTTGTCAAGTCTGCTGTCTCTGTGCACCTTGAGCTCCACCCCACTCCCTGGTGTGTGTGTGTGTGTGTATCACTGGAGGTTTTGACACCGGCGTGCTGGACTCACTCGGCATCTGCACCTCATCTGGTAATCAACAGCTGTCCTCAGAAGATGGCCTTGGCCTCCGCCACGTCAGTCAAGCATCTGTGCTCAACATCGACTTACCGTAAATATATCCAACCGTTCTTTGGTGAGCTTTTTTTTTTTAATCCCGAGTTAACTCTGATCCCGCCGTGCACCTGCCTCTTGGATTCTCCCTTGACCAGGACCCTTCGCACTTGACATGACTAAATACCTCATCTTACCTGCAGTTGAACCTTCCTTTCTGTCCCCGAGTCCTTCTCGTTAACAGCCTCCTAACAGCGTAATGTCGGTGCTTTTCGTGTGGAGCCAAATTACATAACCAATTGCTTTTACGGTCTCACGTTCCCCTAAATTAATTGTGAGAGTTCAAGCTCACAAGCCCTGCTAACATTAGAAAACAAACCCCAGTTTGATAAATTATTAAACCTTACAAATGAATTGGTTTAGAATATAGTTTGAGTCACAGGATGAGGAAAAATGTCGAGCTGTGATTGTACTGCATTGATGTTTTAGGGTTCATTAACAGTACTGAGGCCATCCCAAACAAGCGGCCCACGGGCCAAATCCAGGTGCGAGAGTCCCCCCCCCATGCGAACTCAGTGAGGCTTTTGTCAGGCATGGGGAGTTCAACAAGTGGATAAATTGTCTTAAATAGCTCGATGGTTCGCCATGGCTCCACTTACACTGTTGTAGCCACGATATTGTGAGCAAACCATAGAATCACTGCTGCCGCTCACATTAGCTTTGTTATGTTGGCAAGTGACAAGCAAGTTGCCCATTGGAGGGGAGGATTAGCTATTCAAGCAAATGACAGGTTTCCCTAATGCGGCCGGTTTAAAAGCGACTCATGGGGAACGCATTGTCAAGTGGCCACCATGTGGGCCGTGTTCGGTGGAGGGCTTATTCATTGGAAATAACATTCACAACGCAAAATGTGTGCTGTCAAGGCCGTCACCACTGCTGATGTTTGATTATGGGGCAGCTAGCAGCAGGCCAAGCGCCCCTCAAGTAAGAAAATGCTTTACTATGCTGAAATCGCCTGCAGTTTTACCATTTAAAAAACAAACCTGTGTTAACAATCGAAGGTGCTAAACTTGTCAGGAGAAACAAAGAAATGAAAATGTATCGAGATAGATCAAAAACTGATTCAGATTTGAGATGTAATGTTCTGACAATGCAGTATTATTCGATAATGGTTTGCTAAAATGTACCTTACACAAATTTTCGAAATAAAGTAAAGGAACTGTGCAGAGTTGGCCAGTGTCTTCTGATATGCCCTCCGCACTGGGTCGAGTTTCATCAGGCGTTGATTCGAAAAATTAAATGGTATTGTTTTAAATTGAGAAAAAAATAATCATTCGCAAGAGTCCTTTGATTACTTTATTTACCAGAGGTAAATAATCTTGCCAAGGAGACCGAGGCTGTGGAACGAGCCCAGTTATGCACGGCAAATGATTGACAATGTCCTTAAGTCCCGCCTTCTGTCTTTCCAGTTTCTGATTGACAAAGAATAGCCAATATGTGCATTGCTTTTTAAATGAACAGTTAAAACAAATTTAGAGGCATTAAATGGGACCAAAGAGGGATGATTTTTCCAAAAGATCATGACAACAATATTGTCCTGTCAGGTCATTGACAATTTTAACATATATACCGGAAACAACAAGTGTATTCGTGTATTTAATTATTTATTCATTGAACCACAAACTCTCTGTTTAAGGTCGATTTGAGTCCACACTTTCAGCCAAAGAGTAAGATTGTGGTTCATCTGTTTACAGTATTTCTAATGAAGAGATGTTATTTGTTTCTGATAATGGTGAATGGAGAATGTCCTCTCTGGAGTCTGTCACCGTTAATTGAGAGCGTCACTTAACACCAAATCTGAACTCCAGGCTCTGTCCGTTGTCACTTTTCCCCTCAAAGATTCTTATGACTTGGGCAATGCGAGACTCTGCGTTAGTTTGAAGGTCATCAAGATGTCATTGTTAGATTACACACCTTTATACTCAGGAGCGCGGCTATCTCACATGATTAGAGGTTTTGCCAATGCTGTCAGTGGGAGAAGAGCGGCATCTGTTTAATAAAATATGTTTCATCTCTGTGACTTGAAGTTTAGATTAGAAAGATTTTTTTTAAAGAAATGCAACTTTAAGCAGGAGACGTTTGCAAAGTCACTTCATAAGTTTGGATTCATTAGCTTATGTACAAGCCTCAGATCTGCAGCGTTATGAAAATTTTCCCAGATCACAAGATGGTACTTTTTTAAAATTGCTCAATGATGATAATTCCACGGTTTCTTGTCAATGACTTTGACTTTTTTGTACAGCAATCCGAATGTTTTGAGTTTTTTTTTTTTTTTTTGGTCCTTTGACTAGCTTGAGACCAACTTGTTATACAATCTTATCGGATGGAAAAGATTTTTTTTTTTTTTACATACTTTATCAATACGGGATATAACGGAAAGTTTTGAATCAGTCATTAGCCCAAGACCTGCTACAAATATTTCAGGATTAGGAGAAGCTTGACTGGTTTTACTAACGTACTTGATATGACAGTTGCAGCTTATGAGTCTCTTTAGGGTAGGGAACTCATTGGTGTGATCTGTGCGGTGGAATTCATGTGAGGCTTCAGTCAGTATCCTTCTCTTCCATTTTTTCCTTTTTTTTTTTTTTAAAGGTATAATGAGGAACAAACAAAGCAAGTAAACAGAGTCATCACTCACAAGGTGCTCACATCAAGGTGCAACCAGTACGAAAAGGTTTGCAAAACAGACGACGTACCGAAAACATCAATTAAGCAGATACAACAGATTTGTTTCCTCTATATTTGGGTTGTGGAAATATAAGAGCTATATATGATTTTATTTCCTGCTGGTTTTTTTTCACAATGATATCATACACTCTGTATACACTGAAAGACAATATACATAGTAGTCAGGTTCTATTCTGTACCCAATGAATAAGTAGCTGCGTGTAGCCATTATTGCAGAGTAGTGCATCGGTCTCTACTTGGACGCTCCTATCAAGCGTTTTCGTTCACCCACTTCAGAAGCCATTGGACCTGTTACCTCACTGACGTACGTATTCTTAAAAGCTCTACAAACTGAATTTCTCTGAAAGCTTTCATTTTGAGCGTGAAATTGAAGGGACCGGCAAATTCAACATGCAAAGCGCATGACTAGCATTTTCCTTAATCAATAATGGGGTTTTAAAAACAATGTCACGGTCAGAAAATTACAAATCCCAGCTTGCATTTTGTGACAGTGCGTTTCTATTAATTTCAACGGTGCAGAAAGGAGGCATCGACATCAACTCAAGCGTGCACCAAAAGAGCACTTTATCAGTGCTGACTGTTTCTTGTGTTTGTTTTATAATTGAATGGATGCTTTTTTTTTCCCCAGGAATTAGCTTGATGCTACCAAGATGTGAGTTTGTCACCGCCAGTGGCGCGGAATAGCACCATGAGCGACGTTAACATCGACAACATAAAAATGTATTCAAGGAATACATTTTTACATTCAGGAGTTCTTTTTCTTCAAGAAACCTTACGGCGAGGTCACAGAGAACAATCGAAACTGAAACATGCGCATCCGCTTTGAACACGCTGCACCGCCACAAATGTTTTTTTGGTTTGTTTTTTTTTCTTGAATTGTTAGCGTTTATGAATCCAGTCTTGGAGGTTTTATGTTTTGGAACGTAACTGGAGAAAGGCAAGTGTAAATGTATTCTTGAAACAAG